ATTTTTTACCCTTAAAACATAAATCGCCTCATTTTATCAGTGTAAGAGATAGTGATTGTTATAACCTGGCAAGTACCTTAGGCCGGCCGGAGCGGTCTTGAATTTTCTAAATGTTGGGCTTCGGGAAAAAAAATGGGTTGGTCAAGACTAAGTAAGTCTTAGGATAGACTTCAGCTGAGGAAAAACTAAGTTGTACTGGGAGAAAATGAGTTAGGTCGTGAAATCTCTCCGCGGGTAGAATTGTGCGGTCCGCAAGTCGGTTTTGTTAGACGCAGGTCGAGTGTAGATCGGTGGGATGCGGGGAAGGATCTCCCCCACCGTGGCAGTGCGCGTGGAGTCACGCTGGACGCGGACAGGTCCGCAGTTCTGTCCTGCCACGTGTCACCCATGCGCGGGTGGCGTCTGACTTTGCTTGACACGGACTGACACGGGCCGCGGATCACGTAGGCGCAGTCAGTTGTGTCTGACACAGTCTGTTTCGTCTGACATGGACCGCGGGTAACGATAGGCACAGTCTGTTGCGTCTGACACGGTCTGTTGCATTTGACACAAGCCGCGGGCAATGATTGGTGCAGTTTTTCACGTCCGACACACGCCTGGGTTGCGTTTGACGACCCGCACGCACGCAGAAATTATCCGCCACGTGGCAGCCATGCGGGAGATCGCCAAATTAAGAGAATCTGAGTTTTTCTCTATAAATAGAACCCCAACCTTAGTTCTCAGCCATTTTTCCGTTTTTCCTACCCTTGCTCTTCCCTTGTCTCTCTAGAATCATTTCTTAGAATTTTTTTTGATTTTTCCTTTGATCGTGAAGGATTCTCGAGTCGTTTCTCTGGTAAGATCTAGTCTTTTTGACTTTTGCGTAGGTCCGTTTTACCCGTTCTGTTGAGATCCGTAGCAAAGATAAATTTATCCTTATCATCAGGTTTATCGAGTCTCAGGAAGGATCCGTAGCCGCCTTAAGTCTACGTCACCGCATGCCGATCACTGTGAGATGGTTCCAAGAGATTGATGAGTCGAATCCCCGTGGGTTGATTTTATGTTGCATGTTTTTCTGTTGAGCTTGACTTGTTGAATCAATGCATGCATACTCGTTCATCTTGCTTAGACAGTGCCGTGTACGTTAGGAACCTCAGTTGCTTGAACTTTACGCATAGGTTGATAATAGAGACATGCGTTCTTTCCCTTGAGTTTGATCGTTGATTGTTGGCCATTTCGTGTGTAACGACCATGCTGGTCGTGGTGACCGCGGTGTCGCCTGGCCTGTTGGAAATTTGCCATATCACTTAAAATCTAATCTGTTTGATCTTGATAGAACCACCACATGAACTGCTTGAACCTAGCATCTTGAGTCCATGCTCCATGATAAGTTTACTTTATGATTTTCCTGCATTTGTGCGATAAATGCTTGTTCTTGGTTGTTTACTTGATAAGTTGATTGTACGCGGTAACTGCTAGCACTTGTCTCTAGACTGCTTGATAGGATTATGTTGATGTGTGCAAAAAAAGTTACTAGTGAAGTAGGATCATCGTATTAATGCATGCCATCGTAGTTGCATGCATTAGTGAGATGTGATGAGTGGCAGACCGACGTTCCCGGAGGGACCATGGTTTTCACGAACCACAAGTACTGCAGGATAACCATGTAAGCACGGAGGGCACTAGGGTAGCTCCCCTGGCCGCGCATGCACGATGGTGCATGTGTTCACTGGTGGAACTAGGAATTTGCGTGCCTGTGTGGCTGCAACATCGGCGGGTTGCCTGGGGATGGTCGACGGGTCTGCGAGGACTTGAGAGTTGAGTGGAATTCGGTACTTGCATTCATATAGTTCGTAGGATCGTTGTGTGAGTCTAAGTTATTGTGAAATTGTTTATGGTGCTTGTCTTGATTGATTGCCTTGTATTATTGCGTGATTGTTGTGTGCTGCTTGTTATTTTGGGTTTTGGGCGGGGAATCCTACACTTGATTGTTATTAAGGCTCTAACTTACTAAGTAATTCTAGATTACTCATCCCACTCTATTTGTTGCAGGAACCTTCGTCGGGATCTATTAGAGGGGCACGTTGGACGCTAGGATCATCAGACGTAGGTGATTTCAGTGTTCTTGCAAAACTTATGGTTTTTATTATGTAATGCCTTTTAAACGCGGATCCAAACCCTATATGCTTGTAAAAATGGATTTTTGCCTACTCATAAGCTAAGTAATAAAACAAGTGTTTTCAAAATCTTATCAAGTGATAATGATGCACAATCTAGTCTGGACCGAACCAACCGTCAAGCATGATCCGGGTTCGCAAGCCTTGGAAAGTGTTAGATGGGAAATACGCTCTGGGATAGCCGAGGAGCCTAAGTATTGGATTTGTTCTAAAAACTAAAGATTGACCGTCCCGTTGCGTCTGGGTTGTAGTGTTCCTGGTAGGCCGGCCTCAACGGTGATCGAGGGCGTTACAACCTCTACTAAAG